TTCAAGTCACCTACAGATTGGAGAACTAAAACTTCTGTGTTTTCAAGTCACTCACAAGTTTAGAACAGTCAGGAATTAGGAACCCAGCAATGCATTAAAAACCACCTTCCAGTTTTCCTCTTGTTCTAATATACTTAGTTATATTAACATATATTTTCTATCCTACATGTAGGAATCTCATGTTACTATGTAATATTAGTAATCATTTTCAGAGTTCCATATTCACCCTGTAATTTACTTAGCTGTTCCCCTAAACTTTAATCTACCGTATTTCCCCATGTATAAGATGCACCCTTTTTCGAAAAATTTGGGGTCTAAAAACTGGGTGCGTCTTATACAGTGATTGTGTGAGTGCAAAAAAAAAAAAAAAACAAGTGCGGGAAATGCAAGTAAAAAAAAATCTACAGGGCCTGCCGAGTGGCGCGATGGTCAAGAACTGGCTTGGGACGCCAGAGGGCCCCGGTTCGGATCCCACCCATGATGGTCAGTGACACTGCCCTCCACAGCTAAGATGCTGAACGACAGCTCAACCTGGAGCTGGGCTGCTGTGAGTCACCGGCAACGGCGTAGGCTGCAGCCCCTGTGGCAGTGGGTTGCCATGGGCTACCATGTGTAGCCAGCAGCCAGCGTGAGCGGCCAGCAGCCGCAGTGAGCGGCCGTCCAGAAGCCGGCGACTGATCTGCCTCACCTGGGAAGAGCGCAATGATGGTGCCAACTTGGGCCAGTGAAGCAACGTCCTCCACAACTAGACTGAAGAACAAAACGACAGCAACTTGTCTGTTCCCCTTCCCCCAATTCCCCAATTAAAAAAAAAAATCTACAACCACTGTATAAGACGCACCCAGTTTTTAGACCCCAAATTTTTCAAAAACAGGTGTCTTATACATGGGGAAATATGGGTAATAAGTGTGTTATTACCATTCTTGAGTCTAGATAACATTCATAGAACCAATCTATGATCTGTAAGTCAAGTGACCTTGTGAAAGAAGGAATTGAAATTGCATTATTAACAAAGCTGTCGCTTTATGAGCTCCACTCGTTAGTAGAACCTCACAGTCACCTTTTGTTTTCTTTTGGGGCCTTGCTCATTCGTAGTAAAGCTTATGTGTCAGTTGGAATCCACCTTGTACTTCTTTTTGAAGATATAACCTTTTGCCCAACTCTAGTCTTAAACCACCTGTGTTTTTGCATAATTCTTCAATACTACCAACAGTAGTTTGAGCAGAGATGTCATTGAGGGATTCTGGGATAAGTTATATAGGCCAAGAGGCCTATATAGAGAAGCAGTTGATGTGTGTTCTTTAAAAACCAATCTCTTTTAGGGCCTCAGCTTCCACTTAACAACATTTGTTCTTCAACTTTTCAAAAGGAAGATCAAAATCTTTTACAAAATAAAGAGAAGCAAATAAAGATGTTTTCCTGTCTGTTGTAGCTCCATCCCAAATAGTGTTTCTTTCAGAGTGTCATATTATAGCTAAGCAGTGAAATCAGAACTTTTTGTTGTCCTCGGCAGCTTTGTCAATCTACCAGTTAGGTGAGGAAGAATGAAGCGTAGGCAGAAAGGCAAATAGGAGAAGCTATCGGTGATGTAGAAATAGACAACAGCCTGATACATAATTTGTGGGTAATCAATCATTCAAATAGTCACTTTTGGAAAGTGGCTCATGTGCATTTAGAGCTTTTGCCTGGCCTCCCCTTTCTTTAAACAGTCGGGAACTGAAATGATTGGTAATCATGGACTTATCAAAGCCCTAAGGGTTGCAAAGCGATAGAAAACCCAACTCCCAAAAGGAATTTATTGACAAATTATTGAAGAGATCAGCGGTAGGGCAGACTTTAAGCATTGACTGACCAAGGAGCTCAAGTGATCCCGCACTGACAGGCCCATTTCTTCCCTGTCATCCTCTCTTCTTCCTTTCTTTTCTCCCTCCCTCTTAGACCTTTTGCAGAGGTTTTCCACACCTCAGTTTCAAGTTCAGTAAGAAGAAACAAGTGTCTGCTCCAGAGTCACAGCAGAAGCCTCGCTGCCACCTGTTGGCCCTCCTATCGCATCCACGTTTCTGAACCAGTTGTCATTATGGCCGGGGGTGTCTGAATATGGGGGTGACCTACACTGAGAATTGGGAAGGGCAGGTCCCTAAACAAGAAGTGGGGGGTATTGCTGGAAAATGGGGGAAAGAACGCTGAGGTGGCAAATAACAAATATGTACTTATGCCTCTTGAATTCTGATTTTATTATTATAAATTGGTACATTTGGTATTATTTGACTTTTTTTTGACCAATGAAAACTTCTATTTCAACCTAATAAATGTGAGGATTTAAAGTGGTGACAGTATAGTGAAAGGAGCATGGCTTTTGAGTCACAAATAGAGATTCAAATCCTAGTTCTATTACGTTAGCTCTATTGTATCCTTATTGTTGAGAAATTTAAGGGCACCCAATAAATAACATCCCTTTCTCCTGCTTGAGTTTTGTCAAGGGAAAAGACCAAGATTAGCACATAGGAATAAAAATATTAGTTTTATTACTGATAGAAGCTGAAATGAAGGAGTTGTTTTTGTGTTAGCAACAATGAGGTTCTAATACTGAACCCAGAACTAAACAGTTATTCACCTCCACCCCAAGCACTTTGAACAATAAATTTTTTAATCTCGGGTCTGCCTCTAATAACTCAGACCAGAATACATGAGTCCTGTAGCCATCTGGCTTCCGAAAGAAAGCTGGGATGAGCAGATCACATGTCCAGTTCTGGGAGCATCTCCTTGTGCAGCTCATTTCACCTCAGTTGATAATTAGTGGGACGGGAGGCCGGAAGGCCTTGAGGAAAATTGTTCTTTGTAACCAGAGGAATGATGATATACATGTCCCCAACACACAGGTTTACACGTTAATTGTTTTATCTGTAAATAAATAATTACTTTAGGACTGGTGTGATCTGATGCCAGCAGATTCTGGGTGTGAAAACTCAGGGAGATTATCAAATAACCACCCTCTCCAGTTTTTAAAGTTTATAATAATTGATGTGTGAGTAGGTGGAAACCCACTTTGCCTAGGAGATGAGTAAAATTGGTAATAATTGGGAAAACATAAGGATTTGTGAAGTGGGAGGAAGCAGGCTGTGAAAGAAAATGTCTTACAGAATCCATAGCTATCACCTCGTTGCAAATTTAACCCAAGACAAGCAGAATTTTTCCCCACCAACCATCCTCAACCAGTTGGTATGAATTCAAAATTTTTAGCCCATTTCCCCTGTCTAGTGGTTCTCACAGTGTACTCCCTGGACTGATAACGACAGTATCATCTGGGAGAATTTGTTAGAAAAGCAAATTGTGGAGTCCACCTTACTCCTACTAAAACTCAAAACTCTGGAGGTGGGGCTTAGCAATCTGTATTTTAAAAAACTCTCTAGGTGATTTTGCTGGATATTGAACTATGAGAATTACATACCATGACTTGCAAACGTCCCCATAACAGTTTCATAGCTGAAGATTAATTGTACTTGCCAGTAATCTTTTCTAGTTCCTAATCGTGAAACATTTTATTAAATATGGGGCATGGTTTTTGGGGAGGGAGAGGGTTAAATAGGTTAAAATAGAGGTTAGCCCTGAATGCCAAACAGGCATGAGCAGTAAGACTGTATTTTCTTCCTATAAGTTTAGATATAGCGGCATGATGTTTATTTAAAAAAAACTAAATGTAGCAACAAAATGCAGAATGGGTGGATGTAGGAGATCCTTGAATGAGAGAGAACCTGGAGGGGTTTTGTGTAGGGAGACTTGAAGATCAGGAAGAGAAGCGTTATAATAGAAGAGGCTTTTCACAGGAAGGGTTACTCAGTGACTGACTGAGCTGAGGGAATGGAGTCAAAGATGATGTACCATCTCAAGCCCAGGTGATCAGGATAATGGTGACTGGGAGAGGGAACACTCTAATTTGGGAATAAGGTGAATCCATTGTTAGGCACGTGTTAACTTTGAGGTGATTGTTTAAAGGACATAGATGGAGAAAGAAGAGCTGAGAGCTCATCTCTCAGTAGTTTAGAATAAGAGGAACATTGAAAGTATTTTGAAGAAAATTAAAGCACCCATTCTTTCCTCAAATGCTTACTGAATGAGTACCTTGTGCCTGGCACAGTTCTAGGTTCTCAGGATAGCGTAATGGACAAAGTCTTGCCCTGCCTTCAGAACTAATGCTGAAGATGGAGGGAGAACAACAACAACAAAATCAATAAATGAACAAGATAATTTCAGATAAGAAATAAAGGGCTAGAAAAGAAAATAGAGTAACAGTGAAGAGTGACTAAGGAGTAGAGAATTTCTTTAGATAGCTGTTCAAGGGAAGACCTGAGGTAGTGACATGTGACTAAAATCATGGAAGATAGTTTTAGGAATCCTAGAAGAGGGTGGTGTTACAGAGTGGCCTAGGAGAATGGCAGGAAAGCATATTAGAGGGTTTGTTTTGCTTTTTTTGCCCTTCCAGGGGCAATTCTATATGAAAGGTTTCCAGAGATAGGTCTGTGTATTAGAAAGAACATGGGCTTGGAGACCTCCCAGGTCATCCATTTCAGGCATTTGTTAGCTGTGCAGAAGCTCCTCAATTTCTTTGAGGCTTACTCTTAGAAGAGTTAAGAGTAAGAACACCTCATAGGATTAAATTGTGATGATTCAATGAGAGAATGAATTTAAAGCAACTAGCATAGTGCTTAGAACATAAGTACTTAGTGATAAGTGTTAATAGCCATAATACTGAATGAAACAAAATTCAGTCATGTGACATGCAGTTTCATTTAATAGATCTAATGTCTTGATATACAACTTTATTTAGAAGTTATACTTAGATGTTTTATTATGTAAAACATTTTTAGAGGCATGAGACTACAGTTAAAAATATTTTTATAATTAAATGATGTACTTTGACTAACTACCAGATGACGTTTGCTCACGTGCACAATACTGTAAGATGTATTTTAGTAACTTTTAACTTTTTTTTCTTTTTACAGATGTGTACATCTCATGATTGATACGAAGAAACTAGTCATGGGCCAAAGGTCAAGATACTTCTCTGGGAAATGTTGCTGATGCTGCTTTATAAAGTCATACAATGAGTGTTTGGTTTAAGAAAGATTTTCTTATTTAAAAAATTTTCATCTTGGAAATATATCAAGTGAAAATCAGAATCTTTTGGGAAACATTTTCCTCCTGATAAATTATCCTTGTAATGGGCGACATGGCAAACAACTCAGTTTCCTACAGCGGAGTGAAGCACACTCTTAAGGAAGCTAATCATGAGGGAGACTTTGGAATCACACTCGCAGAGCTGCGGGCTCTCATGGAGCTCAGGTCTACAGACGCATTACGGAAAATACAGGAGAGCTATGGAGACGTCTATGGCATTTGCACCAGGTTGAAAACATCTCCAAATGAAGGTGAGTTTCGTTAACACTTGCTTTTAGTTCTCTGTGCAGAGAGTGCTGAATACTTGGCTTATAAATGAGCACGCTTATCTTGTCTTGGCTGTTGTATACTGATGCCATCATTTTAATGAGATTAAAGATAGGTGAAAGTAACTATATCAAGATATAATGTTGCACACTAATTTATATATTTTCGGTTGATGGGAGGAAATATTTTTTACTGCGGTACGTATTGTTGCTGCTTATTTGTCATAGCAAGATTGTCTTTCCCCTGGAGCTAGGTAGGATGGAACTAGGCTTGGTAGCCCTCAGGGCATTCAGTGGAAATAAACCCTACTCACTAGCCTTCATTTTGCCAGGTGGCTTAAAATAGTTGTCACTGCCAGTAGCTGACCAAGTTGTTTTTAACCTAAACTTCAGTAATGAGTTCAGATGGTCCTAAAGAAATGGAGTAGATTCTATGGCAGTTTTTGACCTAGCAGACATTGCCTTTGATTAAAAATAGTTTTCAGTCTTAGAATTATGTTCAGTTTCCCCATTCAAAGAAGCCTTTGGTTTCATAATTTTTAACTTGTAGTAAGTTTCTTTTTGAGACTCAAGAAAGGAAAATTCATCATAACTTCATTTCATTATGGTCTTTGAAAAGGTTTGAGAAGGATGGCTTTTTATACATTGATCATGTTGGACAGAAAGTTAATGTTAGGAAGTTTCAAATCGCAGGGTAGGGGGCGGGCACGTGAGGATGAATGGTGACTACAATTTATTTTAGTAGGGATGGGAAATTATTAATGCCAAAACTTAAAGTGTATTAGTATATATTCCAAAGCCAATTCTAGAGAAATTATGCAGAAGTGTTTTTCTTACCATTTTTTCTGAAACATCTCATGGCATGCTACTAGTTCTGATAAAATTCAAAGTAATAGCAAAAAAGTTATTTCTAAAATTGTTAAATAATTTTAAATCACATTTAAAAACTATTTTAAAACAACCTTTATAGAATTCTGTGTAAATGCTCATGATTTTGAGGAAGAAAATATCAGTATTCACACATATCCTAAAAGGACTTCCTTGGATCTCTTAGAGTATGTTCTTTTTCTTCTGCAAGACCTGTTAACTCTTTCAGATTTTGTGGATCTTATCCTTAAGTCAGAACCACTAAACACATGAACTCTTAGTTATACCTTCAATATGCTGTACCATTTTAAGGTAACTGGGTTCCCTATTGTTGATAAAAAGCCAAGGAATCATGAACAGAAGACCCATGGACTTTTAACAGATATTAATATGACAAAATTCAGAGTTTGTTCATTATACAAACCAACTGAAGTATTAGCTAGCTTCATATCACCTTACATATTTGTACATTAATATGTTGGTAGCAATTGGTAGCTTCATTAATTCAACCATATTTACTTACTACATTTATTTAATCTAAAACCTAATTAATTGTTGGATATTTCATGATCACCAAATTATTGGGAGACTTTAACATAAAAAGCCCTCAATGTAATAACAGTGAGCTCATAAAAACGATACTGAGCTTCAGTTTCAAATCTGTACAAGACGGCACTTCCCCCAAACATGTATTTGTATCCTCTGCTATTAAGTACAATTCTTGTCTTCTAATAATAACTAAATACCCCTGTATGATGTGTTCTCATTTTGTATAGACAGAATTTCCCATTAGTTTAAACTGTCGTTTCTTTTGTGCTATTATTTTGGGCAGTACCCCCTGCATTGATTTTGTTTGAATTAGTGGAGTTTTATTGAGTTAAATGGAAATTTTATATCTAGTACAGTAGCTTTTAAAATTTAGGGAGGAGATGGTTGTATACCACTTTAACAATATGATGGAAGCTGTAGATAATCTCTAGAAATTGTCATTAACACTTAAAATTTTGTGTGCGTTGTTGCTGCTCTGTGATAGTAAATGTGTGCAATATTTTTCCCTCTTTCATTCTTGGAAAATTCTTGCTCATCTTCTTCCCTAGAATTGTAAATTTAATTTTTGTTAAAACTTAAACAGTTTTCTTCATTGTTTATATATAGTTTGTCATTTTGAAATATTTTTTATAGAATGTGAAAAAGGATGAATGCTGTTTTAAGCATTATATTTGTATTTACAGTTGTAAGAATTAATAAGAGCAGCAGCAGTCTGACAGGAGTACGATTATAATATTTCCAAAGGAATAGTTTTAATAGATACAATTCACTCAGCTAGTGAGGATTTTTGTCACTGATCAACTAGGCAAATGATAATAAATGAATTATCATCAGAGATAATCTGCTAGCAGTTTATCTGCCCAAGAAAATGATCTAGACACCAAGTACTTTTTTGTTAGTATAACCTGATTATGGTCAGGGAAAGTAAGATGAAAATGATTGTTCAAAGTACATGAATTTTGGCTAGGTAAAACTGAAGTTCATCTGTCCTTTTAGTTGGTTAATTTCTTCATTCATTCACTGATACATTCTTTCATCAGATCTAGGTTCTTAATTGTCATATATTTTATATACTCTCTAAAGAAAGATTTAGTGTTGGCAGTTTTAATTGTAAGATAATTTAAGAAAAACAAACAAACAGAAAAGGTAATTTAAGCATATGATTAAATTACATCCCAATTTCAGAGACGTTAATAAAATGTAAGAATATATGCATCTTAGAATTGCTGGAATGTTGTATTCAGCAGGTTATCTGCTGTGTGGCAGGTACTTTTTAAAACTAGGTTCTAAGCATTCCTTCATGAATAAAGCAAAAATCCCTGCCTTATTTTTATGTGGGGGAGACAAATTCACAAGACAAGGAAATAAAATGTGTAGTGTGTGCGTGATACATGCTTTAGAGAAAAATGAGTGGAGAAGGAAAATCAGAAATATTGGGAATGTCAACATTAGATTGCTATAAAGTCTAGAGGAAAAACTGAAGACATTTCTTAAGAACAGCAACAACAGGTCCGGCTGAGTGGCTCAGTTGGTTAAGAGCTCGTTCAAGAGTTTGAGCTCTGAGCAACAGTGGTTCGAGTCAGCCCGAGCTGAGCAGCCGTGAGCTGCCAACAGGTGGCAGGATGGCTCAGCTAAAAAAAAAAAAAAATAAAAAAAAAAAAAAAGAACAGCAACAACAAAAATGATAGGTAACACTTTTTGTGCCAGATTGGTTGTTAGCACTTACAAATACTAACTCATTTTATCCTCATCACCAACTAATCCTGTTTTACAGCCAAAGAACCCATAGCACAAAAAGGTTAAGCAAGTTTACCAAAAGTCTCCCATATCCTAAGCCCGGAGCAGAGATTCATACCTCAACATATGGAGAACATGCTTTTAACCACTATACTGTACTGCCTATTATAAAAATTCAGATCATGCAGCTTGCAAAAGAGTTAAGAATATTGAGAAAGAGATACTTGTATTCTCTCCTGTCAGTGGTATTTTTTGATGACAGGAATTACATGATGGAAATAAAAATAATTTTCAGTTTTGGTTTTATGGATCTGTCTTTAAAGTATGTATGCCTTATCCAGGAAGTTGTACTTGTGTGCTCCCTTATTTGACCTGCTAATGTATTGCTTATTCTCTAGCAGAGAGTCCTTTAACTTGATTTGAATCCAAAAATGTCCTGATTGATAGGAAGTGTTTTGAGCCAGGTGTGATTTTTAAACTAAAAACTTCCCAGTGGTTCTTATTAACTATCTTTACTCTATAAAGAATCAGAACTATAAATTTCAAGGTTAACTGGAATTGAGACTTGTAACTTCATATTTTTAGCTTTATCTATTGGAGTAAGCACCTATCTTACAGTCCTCAGGATCCAAGAATATACTTTTATGATAAAATAATGTTCTTATAACATCCTAATTCAGTGAAATCACCATTACAGTTTTTTTTCTTCGGTATCTTTGTTTTCCTACATCAACTTTCTTATTCCTATTCTAAATCATATTTCTTGATCCTTTTATTTTTATACTAACGTTTGGTATCTTTTCCATTTTAATGTGTTCCTATGTTATATTTTATATTGAATGGTAGAATAGACTAATAATAAGATTCTTAGGGTGTAGATCTCTATCCCTGGCCTCATGTTCCTTATTCAGTTGTACTGCATTAAACAAAGGATAAAAATGAATTCATGAAACTTAAAGACGAATATTGAGTGGTATTCTGTAAGAGGCATGGCTTCATGGACTTTTAAAGGGCAAGAAAGCAAATGGGACACTAAGCTTTTTAAGTGGCGGTTGCTAAAATTAGGAGAGGAAAAAAGGCAAAGGAACTAAGAAAAAGAAACAGCAGTAGGAAGAAATAAAAGGGATATGTGGTAGGAAGCCTGGGAGAGTCAACAGCATCTGTCCCTGGCTAGTGTTTCAGATGGCAGCTTCTATTTGCACTCACAGAAGTAAGGCTGTTAGTATTGGTGTGCTTTGACCATGTCTTCATGGTGCAATATGACAAAACTAACAGTCACACATGGAAATCTATTTTAACTTTCTCCAAAAATCAGCCCTTTGCCCAGACAAAATCAGTATTGACTTATTGGCTGCTACAAGAATGCTCTGATGCCCTGATGTGTGTGCTTGGTTGTACAGGTTGGCACAGCCCTTTCAGACATTCAGCAAGGATTTGCATGGCCACGGTATGCCATCCATGTATGATGTAGTACGTGTGTAGTGCTAACAATGGCTTTATATTGGTGATCCTCAGCTTGACCTTCTCCTAGAAATTTATTACTGCTGTAACAGAAATAGAGAATTATACATTTAATACCTGCTCAGGTCACTAGTTTTCATTACTTAGGAATTTCTCGAAGATAGTTGTAACACTGATTATTCCTTTAAGTTTGTAGCATACGTATTATTTGTTAAAGCTGTACTTAGTAGAGCCTGAAGTAGCATAGCTTTAGTTAGAATTTTTTTGAAGTTCAGTTTTCTGAGTACAATGGACATATTTTCCTTCTCAAAATGTTCTGTTCTGGCTTTTGTAACATACTCTTGGGGTTTTCTTTCTTCCTCTCTGCCCAA